AATATTGATAATATAAATGCTAAATAAAATTTAATTATTTTGAATGTAAACTTTATTATATACATATAAATAAATTGCATATTTATACTTTATATTTTTTTATTTTTGTCACATATAGTTATACAATATATGCAACTTAATTAAAAGTATAAAATATTGTAAATATTTTATTTCAATCATGGTAACATGTTTTTTAAAATTGCCACAATATTCAATTCACTATCCCAATACTCATGTAAACATCTTTTTATTTATATTATCACGATTTTTTTTATCATTTTGAATCATTTTTTTTATCAATTTATTTATGAAACATTTTTTTTTATTTAAAAACTATGATTTACATGTTCTCCCATTCGTTTAGTTAGTTTTGAGCTAATAAAATATCGTTGTTGTTGTTCTTTTTATTTTAATGTAATAATTTTTGTAAATATTGTTTTACAAAAAATACAATCAAAATTCCAAATCCCTGTTAAAACATGACATAAACAAAATTGTTCTTAATATTGGAATAAGTTTGGCATAAAAAATGTGAATGATTGAAAAGAAATAAGATATACTCAAAATCGACACTTTGAGGTAACAATTTTATTATATTTTATATAAAATTTTAACTTTACCAAATAAATCATATCTTTAATATTTATCACATTATTACATATTTTCACTATAATTTTATTTCGTGGTGGTAGCATTTCGAAAATCAACAAAAAATTGAAGGAAGGAGGTGTCTATGCAATTCGCTATTACCAAGTGGAGAGCAATCTTGGTAAATATCGATCTACGGTTACCAAGTGCAAAATAATTTTACTTGGAAAAACAAAGAGGTTTTTAATAATGTATGACTTTTTTCATGATGAATTTTTTTACTATTACCTAACAAATATAGGCCCTGATTGGTATAATGGAATGAAATATCGTAGGAAGGGAATGAATTGAAGAATGGAATGATTGTGGGAATGGAATGAAATAAGTTTTGTCATTGATGCATTTGGTATGCAGAAGGAATAAGACCTGAATGGAATGACATTATCATTTTTTACTATAAAAGCAAATAAAAGTTTTTTTTTTAAAAAAATAATATTTTTTTAATAGATTATATATAAATGCTTTTCTTAATAATATATAAAAATAAAATAATTTATTTTTAATAATATATAAAAATAAAATAATATATTTTTTAATAATATAATAAATAAAATATTCTTAAAAATATATAAAAATAAAATAATATATATTTAAATTATATATAAGAAATAAAATATTCTTAAAATAATATATTTTTAATATATATAAAATAATATTTTTTAATGTATATAAAAATAAAAGAAATATATTTTTAATAATATATTTTTATTTTTTAATTAAACAATAAATAAAAGTAAGTTTTCAATTTTTTTTATTTGAATTTTATTTTTTAAAGTAATATATTTTTAATAAGATATAAATAAAATTAATATATTTCTAATAATATATATTTTTAATATTTTTTAATAATATATTTTTAAAAGTAAAGTATTTTTAATATATAAAAAATAATATATTTTAAATTATATATAAAATAAAATAATATATTTTCAAATTATATATAAATGCATTTTTTAGTTTTATTTTTATATAAGTATTAAATATATCTAATTAAACAATAAATAAAAATAAGTTTTCAATTTTTTATTTGAATTTTTTTTTTTAAAATAATTTTATTTAATATAATTTAATCATTATTTATAATATATATTATATATTTATTTTTTTATTATTATTTTTTAATTTTATTTTTTGAAAAATTGATTCCTACACACATGGGAATGAGAAAACCTTCCATGAACTATGAAATGGCTAATTCTATGGAGATGAGTTTTGTCATTCCCATTGGAATGGTCATTCCTTTCCAAAAAATATACCAATCATGGGATAAGGAATGAGTAAGGGAATGATCATTCCATTCCCATGTCATTCCCACATACCAATCATATGTATTATAACTTATGGACAATTATAATTTTTACTAAAACAAATACAGCCCGTACATCGTACATTGTCACGTGCTACTAGCACTGTCAAAACGGGTCATGGCCCGCGGGGTGGCCCGTCCGTCCGCCTAAATGGACGGGCTTGGGCCTTTGCTTGGCAAGCCCGATCAATAGGCCCGCCCCGTTCGGCCCGCGGTCTAAAGCGGGCTGGCCCGCGGTCCAGCCCGTATTATTTATTTGTTAATTTTATATTATTTAAATTTAGTATTTCTTATTTTACTTCTAACTTGCGTCGTTCAAGTTTCAAAACACTTTTTTACATCTATATCTATATCTATATAACAGACAAATCCTTATTGCCATAATTGACATGATTTTGGGCGGAAAAGTTTTTTTGTCTATATTTGACATTTATTTAATATTTATTTATTAACAAATCTTATGCATGAAAAACATATTTAATTTCTAGGATTTTTTTTCAATACAAGGCCCGAATGATAGGTAACCTATCAATTCGGGGCCTAAAAGATTTTTTTTTCTCAATTCGGGACCTGAATGTTATAAAATTATTAAATTAAGTCCTACAATTAACAACACTCATAAAATCATTAAATTGAGAGTTAATTTTAAGTTCTAAAACACCAAATATGTTTTTTTTTTAATATTATGCAAATGTTTACTTATTATTTTATGTGAGTAAACAACAATCTTTTATTTTTCTTCAAATTTAGTGTTTTAAAACTTAAAATTAACTATCAATTTAATGGTTTTATGATTTTTGTTAATTGTAGGACTTAATTTGATAGTTTTATAACATCAGGTCCCGAATTGAGAAAAAAAATATTTCAGGCCCCGAATTGATAGTTTACCTATCTTTCAGGTCTTATATTGAAAAAACTCCTAATTTCTATACACTAAATGACTATTACTCATTAACTACAAATTGACTTAACGTAGATTTATTAGATATATTTTCAATAAATATATTAATTTAATAGTAATTTATTGACACAAATCATACAATTAATATGAAAATAGTTTTGATTAAATATATTATCATCTATGGTTGTAGGTATTAATTTAGTTAATTATATTCACTATTCAAAAGTACTTAAAATATAGTCAGTTTAACTATGATTAAATCAGAATAACTTAAAAAATAATTTAAAATATTAATAAAATTTTCTAAAATGTAGTCAATTTTATTATAAAAAAAATACATCCCCATTGAATATTGATATATGCAATGATAATACTATTGAAATTTAAATAATATACTAATGAAAATAAAATTTGATGGTCAGTCGCAATTCAGAAGTATAAATTTTACTAAAAGTTTTTATGTACATTAAAAGACTATTCAATTTTAAAAATATATATATTTTTCTTATATACTATTTTATTAATGAAAAATAAATTAATAAAAAAGCATGTATAATAATTTAAATTATAACACATGGTAATTATAGAAATATATAATATATCTATATATTCGAATAGATACTATGTAACTCATTATATAGGTTACCCTGTGGGGGTCTTGTCTAGTTGTTTTTGTTGTTTGAGTCGTTGTTTTATTACCCTGTGGGGGTCTTGTCTAGTTGTTTAGTTTAGTTGCGAGCTTTTCTTCCTAGCGGTTGCTAGCCGGGTTTCTAGGCGGTCTCCGGACCTGTCCTCCCACTTTTCAGCCGTTGGCTGCTTGTATTCGCACACATGTATGCTTTTGATTTATAATAATATCTATCGTTTCGGAAAAAAAAAAAACTCATTATATAGGTTGAGAAAATGAATTAAATAAATACAAAAATATAAACCCATAGAAATAAAATATTTAACCATAAAAAATTTTGTGTTGCATAAGGATTAAAGTTACTAAAAACTAAAATTTATTTATCAAATTTTTTAACATTTAATTCACTTAATAATTATAGCGAAAGATACATATCATGAGTTAAACGTAGGTCAATTATCAATCAAAGTGCAAATCTTGAAGTGCTAAAAAAAATATACGAGTATGATAAACAACAATTTTATAAGTACATACAAGTAATTTGTATACAAATATCATATGATCTTATACATTTATATATTTTCAAAAACTTATAAATAATAAAATATATATATTAAATAGTCAAAAACTACAAAAAAAGAATTTATAAAAAAATAGAAATTAACAATGATAGTAAATAAATAAATGTCATATTATTATTAAATAGAATATTGTGGAGAATATAATTTAATGTTGTCTTAAATAATTTTATAATATTTAAATAAAAAATATTTTTTGTCTTGCACTCCGTGCATCGCACGGTATCAACACTAGTAATAAAAATATTAATGAATCAAATAATATTTTATGTGAATTAAGTCTCTCCTCCGCACGAATACCATACAACTATTCATAAAAAAAAATGGATGACAAATATTTAACATCATTACACATGAAGTCTTACTATTTATTAATATACTAGTAAATATAAGGATAGACAAACCAAAAAGTATAAGAGTGCATAACACCAAAAAACCCGCGGGCAGGCCAATTTGGCCCGCGGGCTAATGAGGGCGGGCCACGGGCTATAGATTTCCCAGCCCGTAGAAATGCGGGTCATTTTGGCCCGTCCCGTTTGAACCGCGGGTCAGTGTTGGCCGGACTGGACCGGCCCATTTGACATTGCTACGTGCTATTGATTTTTGAATCGTACATATTTTTTTTTTTTTTTTACTGAAGTTCTTTTTCTCCTTAATAAAAAATAAAAAAATGCCCGAACCGACCTGGAACCAGGCACGAACCAACGGTTCGGGCTGGTTAAAAAACCGGCGGTTCGGACCGAACCGCCGAACCGGCGTGTACATATATCTAGGCGGGTTCCGGGCCGGACCCGGGTCACGCACCTCTAGACCAAACCAAATAGAACCAGAAATTAACACCGGCAGGATATTTTGTTCCATCCATAGATAAGATGATAAACCAGGATTCATAAAAGCCTCCATAACCCTCATTTCGATTCCAAAAGCTCCCCACCAAAAATGGCTGGTCTGACCAGCACTTTCCATCACCCTTGCAAATCAAATCTCTGCAAACCCCTCAAGCCCTCATCTTTCCACCTCCGCATTTTTTCGCTGCGCATCGGTGCTCCCACTACCGGCGGTTGCCTCTCCATTTCCACAATTCGAACCACCATATCCGCGCGTTACGGCGGCGGCGGTTCCTTTCAGAGGTACGAGCCTAGTTATGAAGATGAAGACGACGATGAAGCCCTGGACATCTCTTCTATTAGGTGAACTGAAATTTTGTGCGTGATTTTTTGAATGGAATTTTATAAATTATGCTCACTTTTTCTTTCGGGAAATTCATGAATGTTTGTGTTACATGGCCTGCCTGACAGTTCGGATACTGTTAGACTTATTGATGAGCAGCAGAAAATGGTGAGTACTTTACATAATTTTCTAGGCTATAGTTGTATGGTTCTGTTTGGGGTGACATAATAACTTTATCTTTTGTGTGTTTGTTTATTCATTTATTTTACATAAAGGTTGGGATAATACCCAAGGCTCAGGCTGTACAAATGGCTAATGATGCTAAGCTTCAGTTGGTATGTTCTCTGTACCACTCTTTTGAGTTTTTCTAAAAGAATTAAATTTCATTTATCAACCAAATCTTTCGTGTTCAAGCTACATTGAGTTTTCTCTCGATTCACAACATAGTGTGTGGTTGCACGCCCGCTGTATCGGTAGATAACTCAGAAATTTTTTTTCCAGACGGAGTTGGGCTTTTTCCCCATAGGGACAATAGGTAATGAGATAATCCAATTATGTGAATTTGTTACTTGAAGGGATATTGGCAGTGGTTAGGTTCTAAAATGAAAAAAATAAAAATAAAAAATAAATAGAAAACTTGGAGGCTAGCTTTGTACTTGGTTGTATCATTTAACACCTGAACAAGGTAATGCTTCATTTTATAAGTTTAAGATTCACTTCTAATTTATCCTTGAATATGCTTTTCTTTGTTAGGTGATATTATCCCCAGACGCAGACCCTCCTGTTGTTAAAATAATGAATTATGAGTAAGACATCCTTTGCAATTTATTCATGTTCGATAGCCAACGACTGATATAGGAAATCTATAAATGTTACTCAGTTTAAGTTGAAGTAGGATATTTGTTCCTTGTTTAAAACAGAATCACATATTCTCGTTCTTATTTTTATCATTCCTTTATTGACAGTTATCTCAACTGATTACAATTTAAGGTGTCCTTAATTATGGTTTATTGCTACAGTAAGTATAGATACAAGCAGCAGAAGAAGACAAGAGATCAGCAGAAAAAAAGTATGGTGAATATTTTGATGTCTTTTATGCGTATGTATTTCCTGCATAATCACATTGCTCAGAAACTATAATAGCTGAAGTGCTGATTTGAATGGCAGCTGGCCGCATGGAACTGAAGGAACTCAAGATGGGGTGAGTGAATGTTTAAGAGAGTTTTGTCCTTTCCTTGATCTGTCTGTCCTTTTCTATGTTGTTTGTGTCCTTTTTCTTTGTTTGTGTGTGTGTGTTATGACTTATGAGAACTTGATTTTCATTGGGTGAAAACGGCAATAGTAAGCATTGTGAAATGGAACATCATATGTGTAGTTTATCATGGTTTCCATGTCCACAGGTTTCCGTATTTTCTGTAGTTTTCAGTCAATTCTCTATTTATGAGAAAACCAATAGCTTGCTATTAACATTATTTTATTTGCACTTTACTCAATTTTCAAGTCGATTCTGAAGTCTGAATTCCAATTACGAGCTTGCAGCTTTAAATAGATTTTCAAAATAAGAGCTCCTTTTGTGTTAAAGAATCAAGCTGCTATTTTCTCTTTGTGTTAAAGATACAAACTGCTATTTTGCTTATGTTTATATATATAACCCACAATATTTAGTAAGTATCTGTCCTCGGATCTATTCAAGTTTGATATAATCAAAGACAAAGTTAGCCCCAAGGAATAATATTGATGGACTAGAAATATAACCAGTGACCTCCCTTCTCATGGAATTGGAATATAAAAAAATATCAAGAAAAAGAACAGAAGTAAGAAAAATAGAAGGTTAGGTTGGTGTTTTTAGATGATCCATCATCATTACCAGTTACATGTGCAGCTATGAAATCCGTCTTCCAGTTCACTGTTTCCGGTCAACTTTCTAAGTTAAATTGAGGTCAGAGTTCAAAGTAATGATACAAACTCGCTGAATTATCCTTTTCCAGTGATATTTTAGGTGGTATCGGCGTAGATGTGCTCAACACTTGTTAACATCCTAACATGTGTAATGTGTTGTTATGATTGATGTAAACCCTTATGATGATGAATTCTGCTGAATCGCATTCGGATGCAGAGCACATACACTCATTTAGCTACTAATAAATTGTTCACATGTTATTGTGTCCATGTAGATGTGGCCAGGGTCGGTCCAGCCTATATGTACGGGTCCTTGAACTGGGCCCTTGATAATCTGGGCCGGTTCCGGGTCTTGGTTTTCTTTAGACCCGCCGGTTCCGGGCTGGAAGACTGGTCCGGGTTTTTTGCATTGGTTTTTTTTTTTTTTAAAATTGAACCGCCAGTTCAATGAACCTGCCCTTACATATAGCCGGGCCGGTTCTGGGCCCATGTTTTGAGGCCCGACAACCCGCCGGGCCCGGCCGGGTCATGAACCAGCCCGTCATTTGGGCACGTCTATTTCCATGGTTCATTGACCATTCTTTAGAAAATCAAGAAAGTGCCTGGATTCCATAGATACCTGGTTGGACAGTCACTTCTTGATTTGTGCAGGATACTTACGGATCCTTCTAAAGAGACATCTTCAGTTTGCTCTTTTCTCAATGATCTTATATGTTCAGATGTTCAATCTGATATTGTACCAATATAAACCTAATATTTCATATTCCTGATAGCCTTTACCCCTCTGGCAGTTACAATATTGATGTACACGACTATTCTGTGCGTCTGAAAGCTGCTCACAAGTTCTTGAAAGACGGTGACAAGGTTGATAGATTTCTTTTACCCAATCTACATGTAATATGACTTAATAATGTATGATGTGGTAAACATTGATATCATTCTTGCAGGTTAAGGTCATAGTAAACATGAAGGGGCGTGAAAAGGAATTCAGAAATAATGCTATTGAGCTTCTCAAGCGGTTCCAAGGTGATGTTGGGGAGGTACATTCAGCAATCTCTTAAAACTCTTCCGGCTTTCCATGTTAACGAGGATCAAGATTTTCTTACCATGATCGTGTGATATATTAATACTTAGTACTCTTAAACTCTGACCATATATTGCCTGCTGGTTGTAAATTCTGAATTCTGATTGTTTGTAGTTCCTGAATATCATCTTCATGAATGGATCCTTGAATGACTAGAACTTGGACATGATTATTATTATTTGTTTTGTCATTTATTTACTTATAGTATTGAAATATTAGAATATGTTAGTGCTCATTATTGAGCCTTTCTGACAGTCATATCTTCATTGTTCTAACGACAGCTGGCAGTCGAGGAAGCTAAGGATCTTCGGCAAAAGAACATTTTTATGGTATTATCACCCAACAAGGCAGTTGTACAAAAGGCTCAAGAACCACCGAAGAAAAAGGATAATGCAGTCGCTAACGAAGTTTCAGCTAGTGTGAATTGAATGTGTCCAGGCAATGTTTGTCCAAAATATTTCTGAACTTCAAAATGTTTTCTACGATCCTCGGATCTTTTGAGATCCTATGCACTTGTATAGAGAGAGAATTAGTGAGAAAAAGATGTACAAGAATGGTTTTTACTTATGGGTCATATAAAGGACAGCTACTGTAGTTGAGTAGAATTTAGCAGGACCATGGCTTGAAGCTGGTTATTACTGCCTGGCAACAATGTATTATGATCTAATCTATGGATCAGACTACCGGAAAAAGAAGATATAAGTGGTAGTCATGGGTATTCCTAAACATTTTTTGTATTTTAAGTTCATTTTTAAGTTCATTTTAAGTCCAAGTCTCGATAAATTTTTAAATTTGACCGAACATTTAATTAAGTCAATGTTTGATTTACTAGCCCGATTACATAGCCGATTTTAGAGCCCGAGTGTTAGTAATTTTAAGCCCGATTTTGAGGCCCAACATAAGTGGAACCTAGTCTTCCTTACTCCACTATAAATACATCCACTTATTTCATTTCATCAACTCCATCTCCTTCATTTCCTCCAAATCCTAGCCACCATTATCATCCACCTTCTTTTCCATTTTTCGGCCAGTCTTTCCGTCCTCCAGCGAACCTTCGACCGGCGAGCTCGCGCCGCCGTCGCCGCCTTCACGTCGGCGAATCCTCCTAGCCACAGCTCCACGACCTTCACGTCAAGCCCGCAACCGAGCTCGTCGTCCACGCTGTCAGCCTGAGCCGCCTGTTTTACGACGAGCCAACGAGTCGCTGCCGTCCAGCTCGAGCCATCCCGACCAGCTCTTTTCCAACTCTGACAAGAACACGTCGAGCCCACCAAGCCGCTGTCGAGCTCACCAGCTCGCCGTCCTTCACGAAGTCCAGCTCAGCCCTTCACGGCGACCCGAACCACCACTGCGCCCAGCTCCCTTCTCGCGCATCCTCCACGCTGGTGGACCATCGCTGCACCATCCACAACAGTCCCAGCTGAATCCCATCGCTGGCAGCCACTGTTCACCGACGACCAGCCATCCTGCTCGCTGACCCGGCGAGCCACGACCCAGCCACCACGACGAGCCTCGTTCGTCCACAGCTCAAGCACACGCCCTTTCGATTTCTGGCAGCTAGTTCATACGAGCGTGCACGAGCCCCGATCCACTCCACACGGGTCCGACGAGCCATCCTCGGGTTAGATCCGCGACCCGACTCGCCCCGCTCTAGATCCGCACCAGTAGCGGACTCACAACACCAAACACAAGCAGACTGACCCGATCCGGTTTAGCCAAGTGTTCGCTTAGCCTTTCTGAGTTCTGACTTTCGTTTCGAACCCTTCAAGAGGTATAATAGCTGAAAATCCTTCTCCATGACCTTATACAACAATTTTAGTTAATTATAAAAATGAGTTTGGGAATTTTTTTAGCACGATATGAATTTATATGACTTTTGATTTAAATGACAAGAAATTTGTAATAAATAGTGGGCTGACCCGAAAATTATGAAACAACTAAATAAATCCTATTTTGATGTCTTGAGGCTTAGGTTCAAATTTGGTGAATTTTGGAGTACGTTTGGTAGGCGAACGAACTTTGTGATTCTGGACCGTTAATGCCCGTTTTTAGTTGACTGACTTATGAGCTTTTTTTGGATGTGATATTTAACCAAAAATAATAAATATATTGAAGTTGTTGGGATCTGTAAGGATTTCTATATCATGCAAGTCACGGACTATCTATCAATTAAACCCTAAGCGCTACGGAACTAGAAGCGAAGATTCAACACGTACCGTTTTTAATTTTTGCCGACTGAGACGTTTCTGATTTCCGTTGTTGGAGATCGTCTAAAACCTAGAGTCCGTTGGGCAGCCGGACTTGTCCTGACACATCACGAGATCACTCATTGTCCATGGCAGATCATCCAGGACCTCTGTTGAATTTGTCAAACCTCCTAGGACTCGATTTGGACTCAATTGGGCGTTGGACCCATGATGAACCAATCTAGAGTGCCGCTG